GCTAATTTTTTAGTATTTTTAGTAGCAACGGGGTTTCACTGTGTTAGCCAGGATGGTCTCTATCTCCTGACCTCGTGATCCACCCGCCTCGGCCTCCCAAAGTGCTGGGATTACAGGCATGAGCCACTGTGCCCGGCCTATGTGTGTGTTTATCTATCTGCCCATACCATCTCAGAATGAGAGTAAGTTTATATCTACATCCTCAGTGTAGGCAGGGGAATTTAAAATGTCTACCCATTGTATTTGCTTTCAGTATCACAGTCTATCTTCTAATAAGAAACCTAGGCTTCTGGCTGGGTTTGGTGGCTCACGCCTGTAATCCCAGCACTTTGAGGCGCTGAGGTGGGTGGATCACTTGAGGTCAGGAGTTCGAGACCACCCTGGCCAACATGGTGAAACGCCATCTCTACTAAAAATATTAAAATTAGCTGGGCATGGTGGCGTGTGCCTGTAATCCCAGGTACTAGGGAGGCTGAGGCAGGAGAATTGCTTAAACCCGGGAGGCGGAGGTTGCAGTGAGCTGAGATGATGCCACTGCACTTCAGCCTGGGCAACAGGAGTGAAATTCCATCTCAAAAAAAAAAAAAAAAAAGATTATGTTTTTTTGTTTTTTTTTTTCCCTGTGCTGGGTTATTTTACTTAGCATAATACCTTTCAGATTCACATTGTTGCAAATAACAAGACTTTATTATTTTTAAGGGCTGAATAGCATTTCATTGTATACATATACCATGTTTTCTTTCTCCATTCACCTATTGATGGACACTCAGGTTGATTCCATACCTTAGCTATTGTCAGTAATTCACTTCCTTCCCTTTCATTTGTGTTTTTTTTGTTTGAGATGGAGTCTTGTTCTGTCGCCCAAGCTGGAGTGCAGTGGCACAGTCTCGGCTCACAGCAACCTCCGCCTCGCAGGTTCAAGTGATTCTCATGTCTCAGTCTCCCGGGTTCAAGCAATTCTCCTGCCTCAGCCTCCCGAGTAGCTGGGATTACAGGCACGCACCACCACGCCCAGGTAATTTTGTATTTTTAGTAGACATGGGGTTTCTCCATGTTGGTAAGGCTGATCTCCAACTCCCGACCTCAGGTGATCCACCTGCCTCGGCCTCTCAAAGTGCTGAATTACAGGCTTAAGCTACCATGCCTGGCCAAAAGCCTAGGTTTCTTTCTATGTAAAATGTAAAAACAATTTAAACTCATAGAAGCAGAGTGCAATAATGAAAAAAAAAAAAAAAATTCCCTATGGGGTTTTTTGTCTGATTAAGAGAGCTTCTTCAAGATCTTTCAGGTATTATATTTTCTTCCATATTCTGCATCCTCCTGTTTTTCAGCCAATGGATGAAAAAAGATACAGAGAAAACACATTTGCTTTTATCCCCTTCACTTCCACTCAATATTAGTCAATGTGGATACAGCTGAGAATAGCAGTTTTCTGGTAGGACAGCCACTTCTCAGTAATAAACAACACACTGAAAATAAAGTACCCATCTGTCATAAAAAGCTAATGGATTTTAAGTAAAATAAGTATATGCATCAGTAATTCTTGTGGTAAAGATTCATCTTGTTGATTTCTATTGAGCTCCCATAATATCTGATCAAAAGCTTGCAAATATACAGCAGAAAAGGAATATTATTCTAAGTCAGAATATTGTTATGGTTATTTTGTCAATATAAGTCAATATCCAATATATAGAATAGTTATTTTGTCAATATAAGTAAAAATATGACCTCACACTAATAGTCTCACCTATAGTTGTAATGAAATGCTATTTTTAAAAATTTTATTTAAGTAATCCCGGCACTTTGGGAAGCCGAGGTGGGCGGATCACGAGGTCAAGAGATCGAGACCATCCTTGCCAACATAGTGAAAGCCCGTCTCTACTAAAAATATAAAAATTAGCTGAGCATGGTGGCATCCCAGCTACTAAGGAGGCTGAGTTCGGAGAATCACTTGATCCCAGGAGCTGAGATCACGCCACTGCACTCCAGCCTCGGGACAGAGCAAGACTCCATCTCAAAAAAAAAAAAAAAAAAAAAAAAAAGGTCTATATGTTTGCAGGCAGACCAGATGTTCAAATAAAACTATATAATAAAAATTTATTAATAAGTTTTCAGGACTCAGAAATGTATGGATTCTATAGTTTTTTTTTTTTTTTTTTTGGAAATAGTCTCGCTGTCTTGCCCAGGTTGGAGTGCAGCAGCATGGTAGCAGCTCACTGCACCCTCCACCTCTGGGGTTCAAGTGATTCTCTCCTGCCTCAGCCTCCAGGTGTGTGCCACCATGTCTGGCTAATTTTCTTATTTTTAGCAGAGATGAGTGTTGGGGTTCAATCAGGCTGGTGGGAAAAATATTAAAAATAGAGTAATAGTCAAAAGCTGTCTTAAAGGTCTAAGTTTGTGTAGCTTCAGATTGCTTGGCTGAAGGCAGCCAGGATGCAGGAGCCAGAAAGGTTAGGGTGCAAGTACAAAGGAATGTGGGAAGTTTATTTTACTAATCTGTTAGTTATGTGGGCTTAAGACTAAGTTTTGTGCTGCCACGGGTACTTTACTGCCTCCTACTCGGGGTTTGGCAGAAGCTTAATACCTGCAAATGGTGTTTGCTTTAGGCCTGGGAAACTGGCCTTTAATCTTTACCCTCTAGTGGTGTTTACGCACAACTTTTGTTAATTAGTCTTACTGAATAAATGCGAACCTCACTATCTGATCAGAGCCAAGTTGCAACTGTTTACAGAACTCACCTTGGAGCCTGTAAGCGGCTCGGATCCTCAGCTGGACTGGCAGAGTGGAATATGAAAGCGCTGCCTCAAGACGGGGTTTCACCATGTTGGCCAGGCTGGTCTTGAACTCCTGACCTCAGGCAATCCACCTGCCTTGGCCTCCCAAAGTGCTGGGATTACAGGCGTGAGCCACCGCACCTGGCCGTATTTTATTTTTCTGTATAATTTTTATTATGACCATAAAAATAAACCTGTAGTCAATAACAATTTGTACATTTTAAAATAATTAAAAATGTATAATTACATTGTAATTCAAAGGATAAATGCTAGAGGTGATGGATACCTCATTTACCCTAATGTAATTACTACATATTGTATGCCTGAATCAAAATATGCCATATAAGGCATAAATATATACACATACTATATACCCACAAATATTAATAATAAATTTCAATAAGAAAAAATAAAAATTTAAACTATGGGAACAATATTCTTCAACTCATTTGCAGTTGAAAGCCACTGGCAAAGTGACGACTGGAGATGTTATTCCACTATGCACCAAATAGTATATTGTTACCATCTTTTAAGTACACCCTTGATTAAGGTGGGATAGGTTGAAGTTAGTGGCGTAATATTGCTTCATTAAACACACAATAGTCTTAACATGGCAAAAAAAAAAGTTCACACATAATCCAACAATTTTTATATGTACTGCATTCTATTACATAAAAGTACAATTAATAAAATATTCTCATTTAATAATTTTAACTATAATTTTTCTCACTATAATGTAGAAAACTATTACTCTGAACCCCCACCTTATTATCTTTATTAATAAAGTAATTCATTATAATTTTTGAAAAAAAGTTTTAAAATGGTCTGCCAACATGTTAATGTAGGTTAGGCCATCCAAAAGACAAAGCAAAGCATCAACATTAAGTCATAGGCTAGGATTATACAAATAGGAACCCCCACCTTATACATTACTTAATATAAGTTAACTACAAAGAGCCTCTCCACTGACATTTTCATCAGGCACCTTACATTTTAATGTCCTTACTCTTCTATAGAAAAAGTCATAATACCCAATAAAAAAAGAATCTGTAGTATCTCTAATGCAGCAATAATCACATGCTTTCACATGTGAATACAATAGGAATAAAATAACAGCATAAAGAAATTTGAAAGCTGTATTACATCATTATTCACTTTTCAAAAAATTTTTTTGAGGAAACAAGTATACTTTCAATGTAATTACAATGCTTCAGAAAATCTCCTTTTAGAGTTATATACAAAAACAGTTTTAGTTGTGGATTCGTTTTTATACTCAACACTGATTTAGTGTAATGTCTGAAGTGTCAGTGCCTTAGTTATTCTAGTGTAAATTATTTGATATTTACATAGAATCAATTTTGAATTAAATATTTTTTCATATTTACTGCATCTGCAAAAATATTTTAGTGTAAACTCTGTGGTGTTTTCTAAGCTATAGATTTTGAAAAAAAAGTCTTTACAAATTCATTATATTTGCAGGACTCTTCTCCAGTATAAATTCCATGATGTTGAACAAAGCTGGAGCAACTGCTTCAGGGTTTTCCTCTAGTACAAATGTGTACAATAAGATCTGTGATACAAGTAAAGGTACTACAACCCCCTTTATATTTCTAATGGATGATTTCAGAATATTCTTCTTTAAAGGCTTATATTTTCTGAAAGATTTTTTGACAGTAATTGTACTTTTAATGCTTTTAACTGTGAACCTTCTTCTGTTGAATAAGATGTGAGTAGGCATTAATGGCTTTTCAATATTCTTTACATCTGTACAATTTTTCTCAAGGATAAAAGCTTTCCTGTGAAATAAAGTGTAAACACTCATTAAAAGTTTTGCCATATTCTTCACACTTCTAGGAGTTTTGGTAGCATTAATTCTCACATTTCATACATTTCTAAGGTTTCACACTAATTTATTTTTCTGTATACAAAAGTTGGAGGCGGTAAGCACTGTCGCATCTTTCAGGTTTGTAGAGTTCCTCTTCAGCATGAATTATCACTGCATCTCTTAAGACTTGAGAACTTGTGGCCTGGCATGGTGGCTCACGCCTGTAATCCCAGCACTTTAGGAGGCCGAGGTGGGTGGACCACCTGAGGTCAGGAGTTCGAGACCAGTCTGGCAAACATGGCAAAACCCCATCTCTACTGAAAATACAAACATGAGCTGGGCGTGGTGCTGGGCACCTGTAATCCCAGCTACTCTGCAGGCTGAGGCAGGAGAATGGCTTGAACCCAGGAGGCAGAAGTTGCCATGAGCCGAGATCGTGCCATTGCACTCCAGCCTGGGTGACAAGAGTGAAACTCAAACTTGTAGGGTTTCTGTCCAGTATAAATTATATGTAATAAAAAGCTTTGTCACATTCTTTATATTTGTAAGGTTTATGTTCCATATAAATTCTCATAGAGTCGAGGGCTGGTTAAAGGCTTTCCCACATTCATCGGGTTTCTCTCCAGTATGAATAATCTTATGCTTATTACGGGTTGAGGAACATTCAACCCTTATATTCCTAATATTCCACATTCTTTGCTATGTAGGGTTTCTGTCTAATATGAATTTTCTTATGTTTATTAAGGGCTGAGGACCAGTTAAAAGCTTTGCCACATTCTTCACATTTGTAAGGTTTCTCTCCAGTATGAATTATCTTATGTTCAGTTAGAGTTGAGAATGCAGTAAAGGCTTTGCCACATTCTTCACACTTGTAGGGTTTCTCTCCAGTATGAGCTCTCTTATGTTTATAGAGGCTTGAGTACCAAGTAAAGGTTTTGCCACATTCATCACATTTGTAGGGTACATCTCCAGTATGAATTCTCTTATGTTTAGTAAGGTTTGAGGAACGGTTAAAAGCTTTGCCACATTCCTCACATTTGTAGGGTTTCTCCCCAGTATGAATTATCTCATGTTTAGTAAGGGTTGAGGATGAAATAAAGGCTTTGCCACATTTATCACACTTGTATGGTTTCTCTCCAGTATGAATTTTCTTATGTGAAAAAAGGGTTGCGGGGTGGTTAAAAGCTTTGCCACATTCTCTACATCTGTAGGGTTTTTCTCCAGTATGAATTATCTTATGTGTAGTAAGGTTACAGGACTGCTTATAGGCTTTGCCACATTCTTCACATTTGTAGGGTTTCTCTCCAGTATGAATTTTCTTATGTGTAGTAAGGTGCGAGGACTGCTTATAGGCTTTACCACATTCTTCACATTTGTAGCGTTTCTCTCCAGTATCAATTTTCTTATATGTAGTACGGGTTGAAGACTGGTTAAAAGCTTTCCCATATTCTATACATTTAAAAGGTTTTTTTCCAGTATCTCTTATCCTTATCTTATGTCTGTTTGAATTTGAAAATTTAGGCAAGAATTTCACATATTCATCACAATGAAATATTTTTCTCTGGGTAGTTGTCAAACATTGTTTAAGTCCATTATAACCTCTTTTGTGTACCGGACACTCATCTACACTTTCACAGCCTTTTTTTAACTGTAAATTGTCATGTCCACATTTTTCATATCTTCTTAGTATCACTTTTTGGAAAGAATCTTTTATGCTCTGCTCTGACCAAACGTCTTGGGCAAAATGAGAACATATAACCGAAAGAAAAAAATAAAAACACATTACTTCAATTGCTAGACTCAGATAAATATACTTTACAAATCTAATCTATAAAATTATACAAACTACATAAGCAAGATGACATAGCAAAATACCACAAGCTGTAATTTCTTCCTGGACATATAAGTGTAACAAAAACATATTGACCAAAATACATTTGTAAAAACTTTATAAATGAGTTAAGTGTGTGAAGGACCCCACAATGCAAAGAGCCACATGGAAGAAAAGGAAAAGTCTATTACTTATACCCAACACAGCTCTTCCTGCTCTCCAGTATAACATTGTGCCTTTAAAAGTAAATTGTGGGCTGGACACAGTAGCTCACATATGTGATGCCAGCACTTCGGGAGGCCCGAGGCAGGTGGATCATGAGGTCAACAGTTCAAGACTAGCCTGGCCAAGATGGTGAAACCCCATCTCTACAAAAATACAAAAAATTAGCCAGGCATGGTAACAGGTACCTGTAATCCAGTTTCTTTGGAGGCTGAGGGAGGAGAATTGCTTGAACTGGAGGCAGAGATTGTACTGAGCCAAGATCATGACATTGTACTCTAGCCTAGGAAACAGAGTAAGACTCTGTCTCACACATGCACACAAAAATGTAAATTGCCAACTCCTGGTTCCTTTTTTAAGAAACAAGAAAAATATTGGCACATACATCTTTATTTCTGGCTTCTAGGGGCTTTTTTAGATACTGGTTAATGTCTTCCACGACATGAAATGGTAATATACGTTGGAATGACACTTTGAGTCTAAAGGTAAATGTTACAGAAGCAAAGAAACTGCTGTATCCCAAACACGGAATGGGTGAAGCAAGTGATTACTGATTATTAAGAAGAAATATGAATAAGCCGATTTAACAACACAAAATTTTAGACAAGACACATCTTAAAAACATGTTTGAGAAATTCTCAGAATCTCTAGCCGAGACAATTGATTTCAGACTATGCCAGGACAGAGTTACATTATAAAGATCGTAACAGGTAGCTTTTTGTTAATGTCCAAATGTCAAAGATTACAATGTATACAAAATATTAGGGTGACATGGCCCCATCAAAAAAATTATAAAATTTTCAAACACAACAATAAAAAGTGTATAATTTTTAAAATTCCAAATAAATTGAACAGGCCAGGATTGGTGGTCTTGGCATTTGCCTGTAATCCCAGTTACTTTGGAGGCTGACAAACGAGAATTGTTTGAACCCAGGAAGGGAAGCAGTGAGCAGAGATTGTGCCACTGCCAGCCTGGGCAACATAGAAAGACTCTGTCTCAAAAATAAAAAAGGCCAGGCACGGTGGCTCACACCTGTAATCCCAGCACTTTGAGAGGCAGAGGTACGCAGATCATTTGAGGTCAGGAGTTCAAGATCAGCCTGGCCAATGTGGTGAAACCCTGTCTCTACTAAAAATATAAAAAATTAGCTAGGCGTGCTGGCAGGCGTATGTAATCCCAGCTACTCGGGCGGCTGAGGCAGGAGAATCGCTTGAGCCTGGGAGGCAGAGGTTGCAGTGAGCTGAGATCACAGCTCTGCACTCCTGGGCGAGACTCTGTCTCAGGAAAAATAAAATAAATGAAATAAAATAAATTGAACAATATTCACGAAGTGAAATAGGAACACAATTACTGAAGATCAGAAAAATGAGGATAACACCAAAAAATATTAAAATAGAAAACAAAAATTGTGGAAGTAAAAAATACAAAAACTAAGTGAAAAATTTCTTAAAAGAAAAAATGGTGTAAATATGAAAAAGCTGAAAAGGTGAACAAACTAGGATACACCCAAACATATATTTATAACAAACACATATATAAACAAAATTTCAAAAATCACAGATCAGAAAAGAATTTTGGGAGCTGCAAGATAAAAATGATGGCCATTTATAAGTACAGTCTTATGAGATAATCAATAAATTTATCAAAAAAAATGTTTGCAGGTCAAAAGGAAACTGTGATATTGTTATTAAAGTTATAATAATTTTTAAAAAGCTGTTAAGTGGGAACAGTACCATCAGCAAAATTGTACCACCAAATAAAAAGAAGTCCTTCCAAAATAACCAAATCCTGAGAAAGCATATTGGCACTGCATATGCCCTACATATCAAGGATGCTGAAAGGAGTTTTTCCCCACAGAAAATAACATAATGCAAGAAAACAACACATAATCATATGAAAATATGTAAATTTCTGGAAAAGATATGCACATACATAAAAATGGAATTTCTTAACATTATCATAATGGTACAGAAAACATTTTTAATTCTCTAAAATTTAAAAGATAAAAGTATAGAAATTATTAACATCTGTTAATGAATAGACAACATAAAGATATAATTAGTAAAATCAATAACAAAGTTGAAGGCAGATGTAATAATGAGGAATTTTTGTATGCAACCGAAGTTAATTTTTTACCACATTAAAATATATTGTTGGATCCTTTAGAGGTTTTAGGTAATCCCCCAAGGTACTAAGAAAATATCCATATAGATACACAAAAGAAAGCAAGAAAAAAACTCAAAGCATGTCAATACAAAAATCAAAAAAGTTTAAAAAAGAGAAAATGAGACACAAAGATACAAGAATCAAAACAATTATTTTATTAACAGTTTTTCTCTTTCAGAAAACTATTTAAATATATATAATTATCTTTCCAATCGAGAGACATACTTTTAATAAAGAGGTTCATTAAAAAACTTTAAAAATCAAGATTCAACTTGCCTTTTTACAAGAGTCACTTGAGATCTAATGAGAAGAAAAGACTGAAAGTGGCAAGACAGAAGTAGAAATTTCATGTAAATATTAACAAAATGAGAGCACAAGAGGTCAAAATAATATTACACAAGCTACATGTTAAGTCAAAAACTGTCATATTTTATAAAATGTACTTTAAGTCAAAACTTCAAAAGACAAAGAAGGACATTAAACAATATATAGATTAATTCACTGGGAACCTATGACATTTTTTTTTTTTTTTTTTGAGATGGAGTCTCGCTCTGTCACCCAGGCTGGAGTGCAGTGGCGTGATCTTGGCTCAATGCAAACTCCGCCTCCTGGGTTCATGCTGTTCTCCTGCCTCAGCCTCCCAAGTAGCTGGGACTACAGGCACCTGCCACCACGCCCGGCTAATTTTTTGTATTTTTTTAGTACAGATGGAGTTTCACCGTGTTAGTCAGGATGGTCTTGATCTCCTGACCTTGTGATCTGCCTGCCTCGGCCTCCCAAAGTGCTGGGATTACAGGCATGAGCTACCGCGCTGGGCTGTGACAAATTTGTTTATCCATGTGTGTATTTTTTTGTGTGTGTGTTTCAAACTGGGGTTTCAAATATATGAAGCAAATACTAACAAAGCTGAATAAACAGAGAGAGAGAGCAATATAATTATAGTAGGATATTTCAATACCCCACTTTCTGTAATAATAATAAAACAAGACAGTATATTAGTAAGGGAACAGAAGACTAGAAGGCAGTAAAAAACAATTAGTTCTATTGAAGGTATAGAGAATACTCCTCAACAGTATCAGGATACACAGCCTTCTCAATAGCTCATACAACATTCCTTTTTATAGACCACCTGTTAGGTCAAAAACAAAGTCTTAACACATTTTTAAAACTGAAATTTCATAGTTACATTCTATGACAAAAATGGAATTAGAGTATAAGACAATAATATAAATAATTGATAAATTTACGAATGTAAAGAAATGATTCAACACACTCTTGAGCGTGCACTTGTTCAAATAACTGGGCTGGATGCCGTGATTCACTCCTTTAGGAGGTTGAGGCGGGTTAATTTAACTCCATTTCAACAACAATCAAAAAGGAAATAATATTGTGTGGATGTCTATACCGCTCAATTTAATCTATAGATTTAATGCAATTTTTTCAAATTTCTCATTGAATTTTGAAGAAATAAAAACAGCAAATCCAAAAGAATATGGAGTCTAACGAGGCAATAAAGTACCCAACAATCTTCCAAAAAAAAAAAAAAAAAAAGTTGGAAGCATTACAATTTCTGATTTCAAAACACATCAAAAAGCTACAGAATTAAAACAATTTGGTATGAGTATAAAGGTGAAAAAGTAGACTAACAAAACAGAATGCAGCACATATATCATCTTTCACATAATTATAGCAGCACTGCTACTGAAAGCCAACAGATAAAAGCAATGCAAATTTCTGTCACCAAATCAGTAGATATAAAAATACTGGCATATCACTCAATTTTCAAAAAGCAGAAAATACTCTAATAACTATTATGAGAAATATTGATGACATTATGCAAAGTAAAATGAGCCAGCCACAAAAAGACAGATTGTATGAGATGTATAAAGCAGTTACACTCTTAGAAACCGGAAAAAGTGGTGCTTTAAAAGTGCTATCAAATGGGAAGAATTGGTAGTTGTTTAATGTATATTGAGATTTAGCTCTGCAAGATAAAAATATTCTAGTGATATGATGCATAACAATGTCAACATAATATGACTAAACAGTATACATATATATACTTATTATTATTATTATTTTTTTTTGAGATGGAGTCTCACTCTGTCTCTGAGGCTGGAGTACAGTGGCAAGATCTCGGTTCACTGCAACCTCTGCCTCCTGGGTTCAAGCAATTCCCCTGCCTCACCCTCCTGAGTAGCTGGGACTACAGGCATAAGCTACCATGCCCGGTTTTTTGTATTTCAGTAGAGACAGGGTTTCACCATGTTGGCCAGGATAGTCTCGATCTCCTGACCTCATGATCCGCCTGCCTTGGCCTCCCAAAGTGCTGGGATTACAGGTATGAGCCACTGCGCCCGGCCTAGAAATATTTTATTATAAATTTTGTTATGTGTTTTTGACAGATAAAACATTTTGTTATGTGTTTCTCCCACACAAAATAATACAGATTCATAAATAAATAGATGTTGAAATTAGGAGAATTTTTATGACTACTCACCTAGATAGGATTAA